CTCGGGATCAGATGAGTCATGCAAAGTGATAATACCGTCGCAACTGAATGGCAACGCAGAGGAGGAGCCGATGGTGGAGGAGAACGAGGCGGACCACCTGTTTGTCAACCCGGAGGTCGAGTCCATAAATCTGCTGGAAGATGACATTCCCATTGCCATCAATTTAAGTCATTTGACTCTTAAGACGAGCGACAATCTCGTAGTTGTTGGCAAAATGAGTGACAATTTGGACGCAATTATTGACTCAATGATGGCATCAAATTGTGTTGGCTTTGAACTGTTCGGCGAAGAGATCGGTCGTAACGGATCCGTTGAGTGGATGTCTGTGGCGACCGCAGAGGCCATCTATGTCTTGAACGCTCACAATAAGGACATTGTTTTGTCACTAAAACCAGTGCTACAGTCGATAGAAGTACGGAAAGTTGTCTTCAATTGCAGGCATCTGTCGGACGCTTTGTATCACTTGTTTGGCATCCAATTGAAGGCCGTAATCGACATCAGAGTCTTTGATCTCTTCGTCCAGAGAAAGCGCGCGAATGAAGCGCTCGAGAATCACATGGCTTTCCATCTGCCGAAGTTGCGAACCTTCGATGAGATACTGTCGGATCAGTTGATGATAAAAGTACCGCAACTCTACAAGAATCTCAATTACAAGCACTTCTCAGTTCGTGTCCAGAATGCCATAATAATAAAGACAGTATTCCTGAGACAACTGTACGCTCTTCTGAACCACCAGTTGCTCGAAGAACTCATTATAATGACCGCACGGTGTGAGCGATCCCTGCGCTTAGCCAATGACCTCCAGTACGGTGTCTTGAAAGGGGACGACGCGCTCAGCCATATGCTGGACGAGCCCATCAATGACTGCGAGCGCACAGAGCGCCGACACATTGGTTTGCCTGCCGTCCACCTCTCAAAGCCACTCAAGCGGTAGCCAATTGTTTCAGTTCTTATGGCAATCACTCACTCATAAGAATTAGTTCCTAATTATTATCATATCTTCTTAATTACACTCATTTGATCACTCATTTTCAAATCATTCAGTCAAAC